CCTTCTGAGGGTTGGGATTACAAACATGTGCTACAACACCTAGCCAAGGGAATAGTTTATTTTATCACAGTTAAATACATGATTACTCTATAATTAAATAAATGATTCTTTTAATGGCACCTTATTTGAAATATTTAACACAATTCTGGATATATTTCATCTTTCTGAACTATACTGTCTTTGTACAAGGGCATAATAAAAGTGGTAAGAAATTAATTTTCCTGAGAGTTGCCCCACATTAAATGACCTGTTTTTCTTAAGAATTAAGGATAAAAAAAGCAGGGCAGGACATGGTGGCACATGCTTGTAATCCTAGCACTCTGGGAGGCTGAGGCAGGAGGAGTGCAAGTTCAAACACAGTCTATGACAATTCAGCAACTTAGCCACCCCATAAAAAAAGGCTGGAGATATAGCTCAGTGCAAAAGCCTGAGTTCAATTCCTGTACTTAAAAAAAGTATTAAAAGTTTAATATATATATTAAAAGTTTAATATATATTAAATATATATGGGCATGGTGATGCATGTCTGTATCCCAGCATACAGGAGGCTCAGGCAGGAGGATTGCCTTGTGTTTGAGGCCAGGCTGAGCTACATAGTGAGTTCAGGGTCAGCCTCAACTACAGAGTGAGATCCTGTCTCAAAAAAAGTAGATATATATTTTTCTTTTCTATTTTTTTTTTCTTTTTCTTTTTTTTGGAGACAGGGTCTCACTGTGCAGTTCAGGCTAGCCTTGAGCTCACTTTGTAGCCCAGACTGGTCTCGAACTTCCCACAATCCTCTTGCCTCAGCCTTACAAGTGCTAGGATTACAGGTGTGTGCCACTATGCCTGGCTAAGAAAAGTATTTTATCATAAGGTCTTGCTTAGCAATTAAGCTGCCCATGGCAGCCTTAAATCTGCAGTCCTGCCTCAGTCTTCCAGTGTGCTGGGGTGTTTTACACCTTGAATTTCTATATTACTTTTTTTGGTAGAGGAGCATAACTGATGAGTAAACTCCAGAACTTATAACTCAGACTGAGCTATAACCTCAGCCCTATTTCTTACTTTTTATTTTTGAGACAAGGACTTGCTAAGCTGCCATGTTGCCCAGTCTGGGCTTAAATTTATGATTCTCCCGCCTCAGCCTTCCACAGTGCTTGGATTACAGGTGTGCACCACCATGCTTAGCTTTATATCACTTCATAATATTCATGTATATTTTTTGTCAGTTAATTAGAATTCATACATCTGTCTTGAAAACTTTTGAGCATGTCCCATAAGTGCATAGCTTGTCTCAGTTATTTTTCTCTTGTTGCTGAGACAAAACACCTGACACCCAAAGTTAAAGAAGGAAAGTTTTATTTAGCTCACAGTTTACAGAGGCTTCAGTCCATAATGACCTGGCTCCAAGGCAGGGTGGCGTGGCAGAGGAGCATCAGTTCATGGCAGCGGAAGACAGCAAAAGCAAAAAAGGACAGAGAGAGACAGAGACTCTTTCCCTCCCTTATGTTGTATGCAGGCTACCCACCCCAGGGTGGGTATAGCACTCACATCCATAATCCTAGCATCGGACCATGAATCAGTCAAAAACTCTAGAAGCTGCCCCTATGACTGCATGAGGCTTTGGGGGAACATCTAGAGACAAACCATAAAACACCTTTATAAGCTCTTTTGGTTTTGGGTTTTGTGTTGTTTTTGTGGTACTGAGAATTGAATTCAGGGCCTTGTAAATGCTAGGCAAGTGCTCTACCACTAAGCCATGCAGTAACCCCAACTGTATATTTTGTTGTATCAAAATTGGGTGCAGGAACTGGGCATGATGTTGCACCCCAGTAATTGCAGCACTGTAGGAGGCTGAGACAGGGATCAAAAGTTTGAGCTCAACCTGGGGAAGTTAGCAACTTAGTGAGACTGTCACAAAAAAGTAAGTAAAAATAAAAATACATAAAATAGAACATGGAAAAAGTTAAAAGGGTAGAAGAGATAAAGATGCAACATGCAAAGATGTATTTTCTTGCATGCTTCTTGGCGTCATCGCATTTTAATGACTGTTGACTAGAAGACTGAAGAGTATTTTTAGAATTTACTTGTAGCTAACATAGTTCAAAAAAAACGTCCCTACAACTGTCTTTTGAATCCTTCCACTTAACCTGGCTTCTCCAACCCTGATTTTTCCTGATGTGCTTTGAATCTTCCTCCCTGGGGTCTGTGTGGGCCCCTCTCCTCTCTGGTCTGCATTTGGGATTCTGGTCCCTTTTTTTCTGTCTTCTCTCTGATGTATTGTACTGGGGTCTCAAACGGTGGTGACTGCTGGATCTCGGGCCGCAGCTCTGAGCCCTCTCTTGAGCCAGGCTGTTAGACCTGCAGTCAGAGCCTGTGTCCCGATCTAAACTCACGGCACCCCTTCAGGCCCGCGTCCTTCCTGCTGTTGTCTCATCAGCCTCCACTGCCCCAAGCTGGGAGTCAGAAGAAAGCTGTGAGGTGTTACCTTCTGCTACGGGGAGCCAAGTTTAAACAACAAAAACAAACCTCAATTCATCTCTCCTCTTGACCCTCTGACCCTGCTTTTCCATCTGCCCTGTACTGTTGTAGTAGCCTCCAAATGGCCTTCCTATTGTAGGTCTTTTCCAGTCAGCCACAGTGCAACCATGGTAATTTATCTGCAGCGTAAAACTGGCTGTCATTGCCTTGCTAAGAGTTGTGCCCTTGCCTTTCTCCTCTTATTTGTGAGTCAGGGTAGGGCAGTAGTAGTAGTATGTAGTTCAGGCTGGCCTTGAACTCACTATGTAGTCCAGGTTGGCTTTGAACTTGTAGTGCTTCTCCTGCCTCAGCCTCCCAAGTGCTGGGATTAGAAGCACCCTTATTGAATAATCTAGGCTCCAAATGACAGGTCAGTGCCTCTTCTCTAGCCCCGTGTAGCTCTGTAGTCCCATTTCTCACCTGTCCTTGCTCCTGATTTGCCTCCAGTAATGCTTTATTTTCTTCTCAATGCACTCTGACTTAAAAAAATTAAACTCAGTTATACATTCAAGTCTCCTACTTTCATAAGACTAATTCAGAGGAAGTTTCCTACCTGCCGTTTCTCCATTCCTGTAGCCAGCCACTTTAAGCTACAGCTGCTTTTCCTAGTTTACTTTTATATCTTTAAATTGCATGTATGTATTGTGTTGTTGCCTTTTTTTTTTTTTTTTTTTTTTTTTTTGGTGGTGGTGGTGGTATTGGGGGTTACAGCCGCAGACCTTTCTAAGTTTTTATTTTAGACAAGATCTCACTAAGTTTTCTAGGCTGGCCTCTACCTCTAGTAGCTGGGATTATAAGTATCCCTCATTGTACCTGGCTTGTGTAAATCTTTCTTTTATACAAATAAGTTCATGTGTCATGGGTAGGTACCCATGAGTGGAATTGTTAGGTTATATAATAAGTATGTTTCATTTTATGAGACTATACCCAGAAGTTCAAGCCCAGCCTAGGTAACATAGTAAGACCTCATCTTTAAAGCAAAACAAAACAAAAAAAGCATAGTGACAACAAACCTGTAATTCTAGCACTCTGGGAAACTGGGGCAGGAGGATCACAAATTTGAGCCCAAGCGTGGACAATTTAGTGAGACCTTGTCTCAACGGGACTGGGGATGTAGCTCAGTGCAAAGGCTCTGGGTTCAGTCCAGTACTAGGGTGGGGGATGCTACCATGGCATTAAGGGGCTGTCTCAAACAGATACAGAACTCGTTGACATAGGGCAAATAACTGGATCCACAAGACACAATTAACTTTTTTCTTTGGGAAGGAACTCACTCTCCTAAAGTGTTTGACAATTTACAGAGTTGTAAAGCAGCTCGTGGACAAGGAAAGGTTCAGGTCTATAAAACTAGAGGACCTGGAAGGAACACTAGATAGTCTTCCAGTAATCTGATGTTTTGTTCCTTTCAAGGCCTCTCACAGTGTTTCCTGCCACCTCCCCTGTTTATGATACTTGATCACAGATCAGCCTGGTCCTGATAGGTGTGTAGGTCGGCAAGAGCGTGACTTCTGGGAGCTGTGCGGTGAGACCTTCACAGGTCTCACAGCACACAGCTACCTGTCCAAGGGTGCGCCACAGCTGTCTGGAGTTTTCCTGAGGACCCTCAGATGGCTTCTGGAAGCCTCTGTCTCTCATATCTGAGGGTGGGGAAACAAGGCTAAACCCTTTACCATAATTTTACCACAATACCTGTAAGTCTGTATGGGTTTTTTTCTTACCAAGGCTCCTGGCCTGCCAAAAACTGGTGTCTGTACCCAAAGGCTGAGGTCACATTTCCTTTGAGAGGACACTCTGGATTGGATTTTTTTGGGAGGCACTTGTAGACACTGGTTCCGTAAGAAAAGTCAAGCTTTCCCTAAAAATGGCTTGTCATACCTGAGTCACTTGAGAATCATTTCTAAATAGGACACTTTGGTTAAGGCTGTCTGATTATGTTCTAGTTACAGGGAAGACACCCCCCCCCAACACACACACACTGGAAATTGAACCCAGAGCTTTCTCAATGAGCTACATCCCCAGCCCTTTTTTATTTTGGGGCAGGGTCTTGCTAAGTTGCCCTGGCTGGACTTGAACTTGGAATTCTCCTGTCTTAGCCTCCCAGAGTGCTGGGATTATAGGCCTGTGCCAACGTGCCTGTCTTAGAGTCATATTGGTGTGAAAAATATGAGGTCTCAGGATTTATGCCTCTGTGTGTGTGTGTGTGTGTGTGTGTGTGTGTGTGTGTGTGTTTCTGGACTGAACTGAACTCATGACAATGCACATACTAGGCAAGGCCTCTATCACTGAGCTACAAGTTCTAGTTTGCTTTTATTTTTAGGAAATACTGCATTAATAGCAAACTGTTCTTTTCGTTACCATCTGTAATAAGTGGGTTGTCATCCTGTCCTCTGTCATAACCTAGGAAACCTTGATAGAGATTCCATTAGAGGGTGTAGAGAGTGTGGACATAGTAAAGATTTCTCTTCTCTTTGCTGTAGTTTTAATTTAATTATCTTTTCCAGGTTCATATTGAGATCCACTGAAGCCCATCCCCTCCCTACAGAGGTGTCACCCTAGGCCCACCACCGCAGAGGACACAAAGCATGAAGGACAGAAGAGGGACCCTCAACACCTGCATGGCCAGAGCGAAGGGGAAGGGAGGAGAGGACTGGGACAGACTGTCACACAGCCTCAAGAGGAGCACACAGAAGGGGAGCCCTCGGCCTGCAGACTCCCCTTCCTGGCTGAACATGCCTGCAGTTGACAGAAATGGAAACACACAGAGCGAGGTGCTACCCTCGAAGATGAAGGATGGGCTGAGTGAGGCCGGCCTCCTGCTTCCCACTGGTGACAGGGCGTTTCTGTATTTGAAGGGATCCATGGGAAGAAATTCAGCCCCTGCAGCAGTTCCCAGCAAGGCTGTGGGTCTGTGTCCAGTCCCTGTATCTGTCCCTGTGGGAGAGTGCCTTGCTGCACTGTCCCACGGCATCAGGGAAGCTCTGCAGAGGAACTGGCCAGAAAGAGGCCCTGGAGCCGTGGACGGCCACAGAGGACAGTGCTCCAGTGGAGAGCCCTGGGTGTCAGTGTGGCCAGGCCACTCCCAACTGTGGGAAGTGGGAGTCTCCAAGGGTGAACCAGTGAGGGCTTTTCCCGAGTGGCCAGGCTCCAAGTTAGAACTGTCCTGCCTGTGTTCCTTGCTGCCTGATTTGCTGCACGCCCATCCTCAAAGCGTCCTGAAGGATGAGACAAGATGTGACCGCCTCAACCAGCTAAAGCCTGTGCTTTCAGAGCAGACGACAAAATACAGGAACATGCTCTCAAGAATAAATTGTACCTCAAATGGTCTACAGATAACACTGGGGCTGTTGGCTCTATGACCTTAGCAAATCCAGTAGGCCATAGTTAAGGTACAAGCAGAACAATAAAAATAGCTTAATTTTAAAAGTTGTTTTAGAATAATTTTTTTGCATTAAGTCTGGATACAAACAAACAGTGCAGCCATTCACTTCCTGCTTTGTTTGTACAGCTAGACAAACTTTATAATGTACAAGTCTAGTATAAACTTGCTAAAAGCTAGGTAATGCAGCAGGAATTTTTTGAGCATGTTTTAAATTGTGCTTGAAAGACAATAAAGAATCGGGAAGCCCTTTCAGAAGGTTATTGATGTATCCAGTATAATATCAGCTGAGAACACGGCTTACCACGAAGTTCTTTGTCTCCAATCCCCCATCTAAAGGGCTACTGTCCCAGATGCTGTCTGTCTCTTCAGCTGTCCTGTCACCAAGTGGAAGTGGATATTTGTAAAGTTTACCCGCTGTACTCTTCTGAAGCCTTGCTGAATTAATGGTGAGCTGTTACTATTTCTGCGTTTTGTAGAAAAATTGTGGTCTGCAGCAAAATTTGGTTTCTCACACTTCTTTCTACTGGAAATGCAGTTTCAATGGAGGCCCTGTGGTGAAAGTTGCAATATTAAACTTAGAATAATCTTCTCAAACTAGGATTCCTAGTAGTGTTACCTAAGTAAAAAGGAGCTTGACTCAACCTAGCTCCGCTATGGAGAACAGATAAAGTTTTTTCCTTTACAAAAGTTCCCAGATCCAAGGAGTTGAGGTCCCTTTTTACAGTAAGACTTTTCTGAAATAACTTGTTTGTTGATAACTTTAATAAAGGCCACTTAAGAGTGTTAAGTTTTTAAGGACTCCCAAAGTGAAGCTTAAAGTAGTCATTTTGGGAATGATTGCATATATCAATTTGTATTGTGTGTTAAATTACTATGCCGTGTGCTATTTTAGTGTTTTGGTAAAATGGAGAATAAAATCTGTTCTTTAGCATAATAAATATGTCTTATTTTAATGTGTGTACTCTTGATTCTTGTCTTTTTATTAATGTTATCTTCCTAGTACTTTTTTAGGGGCAGTACTTAGGATTGAATCCAAGGTCTGCACACTGAGGTGCATCCCCAGCCCTTTCTTGAGTCGGTCTTTCTGTGTTGCCCAGGGGGCATTCAAACTTTTGATCCTCCTGCCTCAGCCTCCCAAAGTACTGGGATTATAGTCATCTGCCACTGTACCTGGCTTACTTACACATCTTTTAGCACCAGGCAAAGTGGGTTGCTGACACAGAAGAACAGAAGCAGAGCTTGCAAAACAAAATGTGTCAGGCATAGTGAGAGCTACATAATGAGTTTAAGGCCAGCTTGAAGTACATACACCCTGTCTTAAAAAACCAAAAAGAAAACCAAACCCAATGTCAGGCTGGATGGGACACCCCTTGCTCTCCTCCCAGGGTGAAGTCAAGTGTGCTGTGCTCCTGTGGGGTGGCGTGTGTGGCGGCACCCTTACAGAACAGCTGCTTCCCGCCCGACCAGATGACACCATCTCGATTGTGTCATCTTCCTCCTGGTGTCACTGGTGGATTATGAAATGAGATGGGGACACAGATGTTTGAAAATGGGAACTGGCTTCTTGTCGAGCTCTCTTATTCCACCCCCCACCTTGGGATGGAAGTTTCCATGAAGTGTGAACTCTTTTATTTCTTTCATAAATTGCAAGTACAGTATGTAAATGTTCAACTAATTGCTAAGAAAAAGTACAGAATTCCCTGTTCGTACCAGATGTTGGGAAATGTAAAATGTCTCCATATGGTTATTTTGGAAGAATGTGTATGTTTTCTAAAGGTGATCTTGAGCGAGAGTTCACTTTTTTCTTCACAAATGTTTTGTGCAGATAGAGTATGTGAGTTTTCCCTTTGGTGTTGGCCTGGTTTCTTGTCTGAGGATGCCCTCTCATGCAAAGTTCTAGGGAGAAACTGATGATACCTGTGCCTATGAAGTTTTATGACTGCAAAAGAAGGCACACTTATTTTTGAGATGATTACTACAGAAAGATAACTGGGCATGGTGGTTCACACCTGGCCAGCACTTGGGAGGCTGAGGCAGAAAGATTGCAGCAAGTCTGAGGCCAGCTGGGCTACATAGCAAGACCCCATGTCATTAAACCAAACAAACAAAAAAAAAACACCAAAAAAACAACAAAAAAAAATAACCCTTCAGATAAATACCCATAATTGAATTATAGAAGAAGTGACTCATTCCAAAAGAACAACAGTTCTTAAATTTGTATGATTCCCACCATTCTGGACTTCAAGGTTGAACAGCATATTCATTTTAAATTTAGAAACAATGCATAATCCAATGTATTGGTTAGCACATTTGGAATTCTTGTTTTGGACATCGTAATGATGAAGTCTTGATATCATGGAAGTTACAAACCTGAGATGAGTAAAAAGTAAATTAAGAAATTTGTATTTAAATAGAACATTCTTACATGACCATTGATTTTAAAAATAGGGTATGAAAGAGTTCAGTGTAAATCCTTGTGTACTCTGAAACTCAGACTGCTATAAAGGATAAACGAGTATTTGTGTGTAAATGGATGCGCTTTGACCATAATGTTAAGTGAAATAAATGAGATGCGATCTTAAATATCTGGTTTCTCTTACATGAGAAACCCAAAATATAAATTTAATGAACAAAATAAAAGCTAATGGTGAGCCTGGGATATAGCTCAGTGGCACAGCATCTGCCTGGCAAACACAGGGTTCTGGATTTGATTCCTGGTACCAAAAAACAAAACAAAACAAGAGATAAATCTTTATAAATAGGAAGGGGACCAAGACATGGAATGAGGTTTGGGGAAGAGAAAGAAAAAACCAAGGCATGTTACGCACATGTGCCAACTCGTGGTGAATGTCCTAGTCATGTTCAACAAATACACTAGGAAACTTAACAAAAGGCTGTTTGCTGTAATCTGATACAAAATGAGAAATGTACTGCAGAATTCTTTATACATATTTCATTGATAATTGGTAAGTTCTTTTTAAATTTTTCGGGCAGAAAAGAAAGGCTTCTCCATATTTATGAACGCAGAGCTGGATTCTGCTTTCCTCCATTGCTGAGTATCACTGCCATTGAGTGACCAGCGATTATCTGTACAAGGAGACGTGTCACGCTAGAACCCTGAGATCTAACTCTTACACATCAGTTTAATGGCAGCTTGCATTTGACTCCCCTTCACTTGCAAATTGTTTTTTTTTTTTTTTTTTCTTTTTTGGTCTTTTGTGAGACAGGGTCTTGCTATACAGTTCAGGCTGGCCTTGAGCTCACTTTGTAGCCCAGGCTGGTCTCGAACTCACAACAATCTGCCTGCCTCAGCCTCCCAAGTGCTGGGATTACAGG